TTGTGGGGCAATGTACAACTTTATTGTTTTTAAATACCTCATAAACCTCCAAGCACAACTCCAACCTGAGCACATCTATATCAATAAACCTGACTTATATCAAGCATCATATTTAGTAAGTACTCATATATTTTTATGTCAGATCAAAGTAACTTGTAAGTATAGCAGTTAAATAAATGTCCTGCAGTAAAAAGAAGAATCATTCCCGGTGAAATGGAGCAGATATAAACTTCACTTACTGAGAATGTTGTGTTATACACTGAACTGTATGAACGGTTCCTGATCTCAGTTTCTTTCGTGTTCTTCTTCAGATGAGGCTGAAAGAAAGAAGGAGAAGAAACAGAGACCTGAGAACGGTCGGTCGCTCTCACCCGCTGTCTCACACTTACACATACATACTACAGATGTTGACGAGTGTTTGTTGACCAGATGTTCTGTCCGCGGTCTCTCAGCTCTGCTCATAGTTGCTGTCACCGGGTTGGGGTTGATGGTCCTGCTGCTGGTCGCTGTCTGTGTTTTACTGACCGGCATGAAGTGCAGGAGGAGGAGGAAGAGACACAGACGCACAGGTCAGTGGTCGGACGTACGCAAAGTGTTTCTATAGGACATAAATAATGTAACATAATGGGGTTCAGACTGCGTGAGGGTCACTGTGTGTGGACATACATTATTGGCTTGAATCAGTCAAAAGACGTTCACCTGCATGATGTCACCAGGAAGGAGGAGCTAGAGACTCCTGTGAACAAGAATACAAACAAACATGGCGTCCGAAGGGGCGTGTGTGTGATACTGTTGTGTTGTTTGGAAAAGCCTGAACAACTGTCATGGAATTTGTCAAAAATGTTTGAATATTCTGTTAGATAGACACATTTTGTGAATTTTGGCCTTTTTTCAATCAATTAAATGAGTTTCTGTTCATCAGCTGTGTCGGTGAGCCGTGACGCCGTGCTGCTTGAACGTAGAAGCTAAATCTGTCAATGAAAAACATATTTTTGCAGATAGTAACACGATTGAGCTAACAAGGCTTATATATATATATATGTGTGTGTGTGGGTCAGTTTAGGAAATCCTGCAGTCTCTAAGAAGCATTCATCTCTGTTGTTAGGTTACGAGGGGTAGGCCTACTTGCTGGAGTAGTAAACCAGGTTCCATTACATATCCTGCAGTTATAAGTCAGACCTCCATGTATTTCCATAATGCTAGCTCTTATTTAAAGAGCAAATTACACAACAATAGGAAACCATCTTGATTATATCTTTTATTTTGTTGATAACAAAAAATTTAACATTTACAAGAAATTAGAAGAAACAAGACTTTATTATTGTAAGAATGAAATGTGATGTTTCAACAATTTATTCTCATGTAAAACGTTTTTATTAAATATCAAGTTTCACAGATTTTTCTTTTCTTTCATTGTGGATTTATTTATTTACTGTTTGATTCACTTAATGTGTTTATTACCTCAGGGCTGGTTTTCCATACACGTGAAAACATGACATATTGTTTTAAAACGTCTGATCTCTCTTAAATTCTGGTTCTATAAAAACCTTCAGACCAGTTTAAAATCAACATGTTTTTTGAAGTTAGTTAAAGCAATATTTAAGAAGACATTTTAAGAGCACCATTAGCAAACTGCTGCCACCTTCAGCTCTGTTCTGTCTCTGCAGCTTCACAGAGGCAGGAAGACACCGAGCTGCAGCCGTGGAAGACGTCCAGCAGACAGACCGGTAACGCCGTCAGCTCTGATCCTGCTGCAGGTCTGTACCCGAGTCTGTCTCCACCTCTGATACACCTGTCTCTCTCTGCAGACTGCGAGGTCTACGAGAGTCCGTCTCTGCCAGAAGAGACGATCCACTACGCCTCTCTGGGCCGGCAGAACTGGAAGGAGAGACCCAGCAGGACTCCGCCGGACGAGAACCACCACAACGTCATCTACTCGTCTGTCGTCACCAGACCAAATAGACTCCAGCAGAAACTCTGATGAGAGCTGCTGTTCATGTTAATGCACGTTCCTAAAATAAACATACTGTTCATGTGATTAACACTGATTTACATATTGTCTGCACTTTATTTCACTTAACTTTATTTTCCCTTTAGGAGACATTTACCTTACAGCAGCTTCAACACATCAGAAGACAGACAAACATTAAGAGGAGTAAACATTTTAACTGTTAGACATCATCATGAAACTTCCCCAGCTGATTATTTCTTTGTATTACAAGTTTTCTTAAATGTTATGTTTAAATATGCAAATGATGCATTATCTCATTAAAATATGTTCATTTGCATAAATTCCAGGTTCAACATTCTTGTTTTATATTTTTACATGTTGACATATAGAGAGGGAATTTAGGATATCTCTTTTTATCGCTCAATAAATGAGAAGATACTGTCAGCAACAATAAAAACAACAATTTTGAAAGGGAATTTTTACCTCACAACAAAATGAAAAAGCATAAAGAGCTAATTATATTATTTCTTTAATGTAATTCTCTGAGCAGCCCCAGTAAATAACAAGCAGTTCATAAATAAATGACACCTCAGCTCAGTTTTATCAGTTTATTTATTAAAAATGACAGATACATAAAACAGTGCCTGCTACATATTACTGCATATACAGTAAGTAGTAGTATTAGTATATAAGTAACATTTTAACATTATTCTGTGGTATAAAATAGCAAATAATCCTCTAAAACTAAAAGCAAAGCAGAGTATCACATTTTAATATGAACAAAGATCAGTGAAATAGCCTTAAAAAAAAAACATTACATTCATAGAGAGAACAGTTGTCAGCATATTTTAATAACATTTATATATATATATATTATATATATATAATTTTTTATATATATATATAATATATAATGTAAAATTTAATTATAAGAGTTTAAATTTTTATATACACATTTTTTGGGGGGGAAGGTACCTGAAATTCATCATTTCAGACATTTATAGTTTTTAGCTCATTATTGCGTTATTCAAAGAGTCATTGTTTATAATCTCAAAGGAAATCACATTTCTTCCTTTGGACAACAAAGAGCCGCTCTATCTGCAGTCATGTGATCCATTTGGGTTCTGGCGAATGGTCACTGCCGAGTATGTGACGTTGTCTCCGGCCAATCCCGTCCTTCCTCGGCTGGAGAGGCGAGACTTGTCTGGATGCTTCAGACTGGAATAATGCAAAGACTCGTCCTGCAGAAACAGACAGTGAATTATCCCTCAGGTTCAGGTTCATTGCCAACAGGGAATATTGAGCATAACAGTCAGTATAAAACAGACATTTCCAATTTCCTGTTTATTTTAGAGATTTCGTCTGTACTTTTTAAAAACATGGAAATGTTCCTAACATTACATATGAACACATTTGCAAATCTATACTTTTTTCACAGATATTTACTCTTTATTTAATCAATTAAACTGTTAAAATTAAGTTTAATACTATAAATACATTTCTAAAATGATTTAGTAAATTAGTGACATTAACAGTAAAAAAGTATTTGTTGTGGATTTTAAATGGATTTGTTTGTTAATTGACCGATATCTTGTATAATGATGGGTGTTTCTACAACAAAAACATTAAATAAATGTTGTTTATCAGTGTATAAGTTTTGGTAAACTGTCAAAATACAGTTTTTATCAATGAAAACAGCATTAATTACTGTAATTTCACAGATAATGACTTTTATTACAGTTACTTTTAAGATTCAGATTAAAATAAGAAAAATCAAATAATAACAGCACTCTTTTGTAAATTTAAGCCTGATAATTTGTATTACACAAGACCATATTTCCAGCTTCCAGAAAAGATGAAGAAGGAAATAAATAAGAAATAAAGATAATATTAGTGCTAATTTATGAGTTTATTGCACGTTCAGAGTTAAATCTTTACATGGAAACTAACTAAGAGCTATCAGATATATTTAGTGGAGAAATTATTTTATTTAATCTTAACTTTAAAATGATAATTCAAGAAAACAGCCAGTGAAGATTATTATAGTGGGTTAAGAGGAAAAGAGGTGAAGTAAATAGAGATTAGGAGAAAGAACAGTATATACAGTATGTATGTGATGTAAAATAAATCTGATGTTGTGGAGGAGTAAAAACAGGATCTACTGACCTCTGCAACCTTCAGACTCATGTTGCCTCTACAGCAGCAAACAGCTGGTCTACCTGCAGAGAAAAGAGACGGTGATTGAGCCTGAGGACGGAGACAGATCACACAATCCAGCTGCCAAACAGCTGGGTTTCTATTTTAATCTGGTTTAAGAGGGACTGAGGTTCAACAGCATCACTGACTCTGAATCCAGCTTGGAATCTATTGAATATAAATAACAGTTTTTAGTCATGTTCATGTTAAGTATTTCATGTTTATTTTGTACTCACCTTTTCCC